CTTTGGATGACTTTGCGCTTCTGATGACATGTGCAACATCTTCCAACGTAAATTGTGGCGGCACCTCCTTGGCTGGAAGAGATCGTAGACGGCGTAGGATTCTTTTCTTAGCCCTGTCACCCTCGGGGTTCTCTATGAATTGCCGGTAGAAATAACACGCGCACCTATTCGGATTTGTCACTTTGCAATGCTTCAGATGTTCTTGACACTTTTTCCGCTTATACTCACCGACTAACCTGTTTACCTCCAGAGTAAGTTCCCTGACTGGGGTTATTAGGATTAGTTCGGCGAATTTGTTAATCTCGCTGCCTCTGATAGGAAATATAGTTTTATTTCAGGTATTCGACCAGCGGCTGCAGCTTTGATGATGTCCCGGAAACATCTATCTGCTACTTGAACATCAGATGGGTTGGACAGTTCTATGAAGCGGCAATTGATATATTCTCTAAATTTAGATATTTAACGGCGGAATGTACACGATAAGCACCTCCACCTCTGCGGTTCCACACTTGACCGCTACCCCCATACATTCCATGTACGGGTCACTAGAGTCAAGCTCAGTCGAGATTGGTCTGCACTGGACAGAGTGGTGCAATAGGAACGCTAATCCTCCACCTACCCTTCTGGTGTGATCCTTCCTCAATACGTTGTATCCATCACAACTTTGAAGCCTTCCGGTAGTAATCAGCTTCGTTTCCTGTATCGCTACCACCTTGATGTTCTTCCGACTCATGAAGTTTACGATTTTGTTGATCTTACCTCGGAGACCATCACAGTTGAATTGGAGAAACGATGCATTGTTCGGGACTTGAACAGCAATGTGTGGCGTCAGCTGCTGCACGACTTGCTGTTGTGGAGATTGCGGGGGAGTCTCATACTTCGACGACGATGTGGACGACGAAGATGAAGACTCATTGGGGCCTACATCGCCGCAGCAGGAAGCTATGTAGTCCCTATCGCTATACTCCTGTATACGGTTTAGGTCGGAGCAATTCCGGAAATGCACACATTCCATGTATCCGTTACATCTCACCGAGTCCGATCTGTGGTGGATGCGATTTCGACAAACGGAGCTGAACCATGGTCCGAGATTGGTCTCGATCCCGGCTTGGACCAAGAGAATACAGAGCAAACATTCCGGGTAATGTTGCTCCCACATCAGAAAAATGGCAGATCCTGGTCGAAGATTTGTTCCTCCGAGTCAATCTGGTACATAAAACCGGCCACCATGGGATTGGTATTGATTGATTTGACGGCATTGAGGTCGTGCCCGGTGCTACTGGTATTTACCTTTTCCATTTGCGTAGAATCGTACATTATGTAGTTCGCTTTATCTATAATGTCCGTAGAAGAGAACATATATCCGAATATGAGACACGGTATATCGGATGTTCATTTAATGCCTTAATTACCTGTCGTAATCTCGGAACATTTTATAATATAACAAGCACCCTATGAATTAAGAGTTAACATTATAATATTTTTTTGATTAAAACTGCTTCAGCTAATCTATATATATAAAAATCAATTGTTGTTTGTTGGTAACGGAATCAGTTGAAAACGGCTGGACCGATTTGCATAATTTTTGTACAAACGTTTGTCATACCCCGAGTTAGGTTTTTAAAGAAAAAAATATTGACCACACCTCCTTTTACGCCCACTATTTCGATTTATCTAAAATCTTTATATTTGCCAAAATAGTGAAGATATCGGTTTCAGAATTATTACACGAGATGCTGTTGGCTTTCCATCCAACCCTAAGTACTTATTTAGGGGCTGAGGAACGCGCCTACTTTTAAATCTATCTCTCTATATGTAAAAGAAAGTTGTGTTAGTTACTACTCTTATAACATAAAGACCGCCGGTCTGATTTTAACGATTAAGACAAATTCGGAATTGCCTCTTGGCAGAAAAGAATAAAATCCAAAAAAAAAAATCGCGTAAAAATGTGAAATTTGAACATTTTCATTTCGACTTTTAAAATGTACAATAGTAATGTTTTATATTGCATATTTTTTCCATTTTGACTTACTATTTTCGAATGTACATTTGTAGTGTTTTTTTTTAATTCTAATATGATGTGTAGGTTTTTTTGGGTAGTATAAAGCCATTCGTTGTCGCTTTATATGAAAATTCTAAAATCGAGAAAAATCGACAATTTTTCAATGGAATCTAATTTTAAAATAATAGTACATTCTACCGACAAATTTCGTAAGGACCTTTAAACATTTGCCGCAAAAAAAATCAGCGAACCAGTTGAAGATTCTTTTTCTTTTTTCTATATTGAAGTGTACATTTTTTTATTGGTTTGAATTCTGAATGAATAGTATTAAAAATGAAATGAGGGCGCAATACGATGTTAAATGCTTTCTACTCCAGGACCTACATCGTGCTTCAGCTGGAAGATGCGAACACATTTAAACAAACAAAAATGACCAAGGAAGCGTTATGGGGCTAATTTCAAAAAGTGGACCTACTTCTTTCAATAAATTGTCAAATGAGAACACAAAATGCAAAATACATTGGGACTGCAATCAGTCAAACGCCGACTATAAAGAACGCAAAATAGAAATTCTACCTAAACATTCAAGATACCTTTAATCGCTTTGCCAGGTCATGATATGGATCATAACCTCTGATAACGGAACAACCCGATTTCAAGTATATTCTACATTTTAACCATATTTTTCGTACTAATTTTAGCTTATGTTGATAATTTAAGAAGAAACCATCTTTGCAAAAAATTATCACGTTTTGGTATCACCATCATATGATTTAAGGTATTTTCGTGGTCTTGCTCACTTTTTCATTTTTTGGCCCTTATTTGACATCTTTGTTTCTAAGGGGGAAGAAAACCTCTTCTTATAAATTTTTATTTTTCGGAAAAGCGCGCATCTTAGTCTTGAGGCTACCTGGGGTAAAAAACCCTGGATTGGAAAATCATCTTACAGATAATTATCCTCATATGAATTTATTTAAGTATAGTCCCCACATTAGTATACCCCCAAGTCCACTTTCCCAGCCAATGTGTGGCCAGAAAAGAAAATTTGGTATTCTATTGAATTTGTAACCCCCAAGAGAATATTGGTTGGGAACGTAGATTTGGGATGTACGTCTATATGAAATAAACTCCGAAATGTCAATCTGGGACTCATTCAGTCGGAAATTGTGGCAGAAACATGAAAAAAAAATACGAAATTATAAAGGAACTTTATTGGATCTCCACCGCAAAATTTAAATGACAAACAATTAATGTCCATCTTACGGTAATCGGAGCAAAAGAGTAATTTTTTTGGCTATTCTGACTACATTCTGCCTTCAAGTATGAGGTGACAAAACTGAATACCACGCAGTACGGGATTTTTAACGTTGGAAATACAAATTTCAAATTATAGCTCATTTGAATGCTTTTTACAATATCAAAAATTGAGCTGAATTTTCACATTTATTTTCTTTAACACTCAAATTAAAGCCTATAGCTGAAAAATAAGATCAGGCTCTTCAAAATATCTAAAACCGACGGTAATTATAATTTTTGCCATGAATATTAATTTATATTTAGTCTTGGAGTCATTACCGGGCCAGCTAGTTTGTTATATATTAATGCGGTATAACATGATTTGTTGCTATTGCTATGCAAAATTTTAGCTACCTCTCACATGTTGCATGGACTCTAGCGTGATTCCAACAGACAGACGGACGGACATTTTTAAATCGAATTAGAACTTTACTCTGATCAAGAATAGTAAAAATCCTAGTTTATCTGTAACTCGATCTGAAATTTTTTTCTGTGAATAAATCTTGGTCTCCTGATTGGAATTCGAATTTCGGCTACTTACAAAAATTATAATGTTTAGAAAAACTATGGATCTCGTAGCCGGTCCAACATACCGCTGAGGAGAAAATCGCAAGCCCCGTCCGAAAACCTGCTACCTACAAAAATTAAAATTTTTAGAAAAACGGTGGATTGCGTAGCCGTTGTTGGACATACCCCAGGGAAGAAAATCTCAAGTACCGGCCGAAGGCCTGCTACTTACAAAATTTATAATGTTTAAAATAACTATGGATCGCCTATCTGGTGCTTGACATACCATAGAGGAGAAAATATCAAGCCCCGGCCGAAGGCCGTCTACTTAGAAAAATTACAATGCTTACAAAAACTATTGATCGCGTAGCTGAAGGCCGGATACGTTGAAAAGTTTAGATACATATTAGTGGAGAAATCTCAATTTTGTGATTTGCATCACAAATATCGTTGGAACTATAAGAGATATCAGTCATATGATACCATTTTGGAAAGGCAAGAATATAAGCTATAATGTAGCATGCAGATATTAACACCCCATAATGGGTCCATTTTCGGGTTTTTAGGGGTTTTTCAAAAAGTACTGGTATAAAAATACCAATTTTCTTGCACTACTCCGGAACCGGTTCCAGTATCTCTATCGTATGACAAATTGTTGAATAGGTAATTCCAGCTTTCAAATGATGCCTTAATGATAGATAATAGTTTTATAGAACTGGATAAAAACTGGATGTTGTATTGAAACTTTCGGGTGAAATAGCCTGGTAAACGGGTATTTTTCCCACGAAAAAAATACATTCCCTTAATCAGGTTAAAAATACCCAGCTGCGGTAAAAATTCAAAAATGATCCGAGCATAGCCCCTAAACTCAACTTGCTCCCTAAAGGTAAACATAAAATATTGTTTTACTATTTAATTACCTTTTTGGTAATCATACAGGTTTTGAGATTTAAATAAATGACATTTTAATCTTTGAATCTTTTGCTTTTAAAGTGGGCACATTAAAACCTATGGGGAGAGATTTCTTAAATTGTTCACAAAGGGTTTCGTTAATATAATAGGAGTTAAGCTCTCTACGCTGTATGCAGCACCATGACTTAATCCAATCCGTTTATCACTTTACACCTTCCTCATCAATAGTAATGTTAGCAAAAAACGTCAATATAATAAAATATTAGCAATATGCAATACTCACACGAAGAAGCCAGGTAAGTGCACTTTCTCTATAGGGCACGAATATTTTACTTTGAACATGATTCTTCTCGTTCGACAGTGCCGCAATTACTTTTCCTAAAGTAAGAAGGCTTTTATTAATGTGAACTCCTTCCCGTTTTCTTTCTCCATTAGAATTGCTAACTCTTTCACTTCCTGCTAAATCGACCAGACTTACTTTACTTCTTCGCGATTGACAGCTTCCATTGCCTTGATCGTCATTTATTGTTTTTCTATCCACGTCAGTAATATTAAGCATAATATTAAATATCGAATGCGATCGAGAACTTTTGTCATTCAAACCGGTAGCAGCACTAGCTCTCTGTGAGTTTCCAACAATCAGCCAGTTCCTTAATGATTCGTATGAATCCACAGGGTGTACACTGAGGCCGACAACATAGGGTCCCCAAATAGGATGCTCGCGTACTTTTAATGCTTTTCGATCGGGTTTCGGTGTTCCTAAATGATTTTTAAAATTGTTGCTGCCGTAATCGCTGTCCTCGAGACAAAGCAGGTCATGGATTTTTTCGTTATATATTTCGAAAAAGCTAATTTCTATTTCAGCATGGAATTTCTCTTTATTTGTTTCTATGTATTCAAATAGGTCAAAACAATACCTTGGAATAATGCCGGCTTCAGAATTTACCAAATTACTCGATATAGGATCCACCAATGTATCGACGCCCATCATGCTATACGACTTCCCGGAACCAGTTTGTCCATAGGCAAACAAGCAGGCATTGTATCCTTCAAATGCTCTATGAATTAATGGTTTTGCTGTACCATCATAAACTTCCTTCTGTGTTGCGTATTTTTCAGAGTCTGGGTCACAACTATAGAAGACCCGGTCATACACAAAAGTGTGGTTTACACCGCAGGACGAGTCAGCACTTGTGCCCACTAATATCGTTAACTCATTGCCATTTACTTTAGTAACATTTCTCACAGTATGGTGCAGACATTCCTGAGCATTTAGAGGCCTAACTCTTACGGCCACCGTTAAACGGTCATCACCAACTGCAACATTATCCAATTTTAGGTTCTTAGGGGGAGGTGCTTCGCCAAGTTCGAGAGTTCTCTGGCATCTAGATTTTGTGTTTGCATTCCGAAATAACGATGATGGTGTATAGCATGCATTGGCGGATGGGGTCTTCCGAAGGACAGTTGATGGAGAGTTTGTATTCCTAGTCGGTGTATTGCAAAGGGAGTTAAGTCGTTTGCTGCACATCTTATTTGAAGATAGAGGTGATATTGAAGAAGCTCCCTTTAGTAACAGCTTATTATGCAGTTTATGAAAAGACTGTCCGAAATCCTTATTCTTACTCATTTTTGAAATTTACTAAATTCTGCCTTGAAAATTTTTCTTACCGCGCATTGGTAGAAAAGTACAGAGCCTATGCGAGTAACCGCCGTACGAATTCGCTGATAGGCGCTGTGAAATTTCAAAAAATCCTAGCCAAGGTAGATTTAACAGGTAACCGCATCGGCGAACTGCTACAACAGAGCAACTTTTGTGGTACCCTAAATTTTCAAAATTGGCATCTAAGGCGAAAAATATACATTTGCCATGACATTTAATGTTTGCGGCAATTTATTTTCAACCAATCAGAAACGAGGGGTTTCTTTACATTTCATGTTGTGTGTGGAAACTAAGCCAAGTAATCATACGACTCTCGGGGACCATTGCAACAGCCCCAAGTTGATAGTTAGCCCCCGAATTGTTTATTCACACAACTGAAATATCTTCTACGTCATCGATAAATACCACTTATGTTCCAGCCAATGTTGGTAACCGGAGGTTACACCGACTCCAGCACATGGCATAACAGTAGCAAGTGTTCCCGATCAAATGGTTTTAAAGAAAGAACATAGCACCAATATCGCCACCAGTAAAAGCCCTTTAAGAATGCCCAACAATCAAGCTAGTAGCTACGTGGTGGCTTTTAGTGAAGAAGACATAAACAAACTTTGTTTTTGTGTTGAATTCATTTAGTGCGAATTCAGCATTACAACAACTTGTTTTGACAGTTAAAGGTGCAGTCAGCTGGGGTGATGCGACTACCTAGTAGATCTACCTTGATCCCAGCCATGGCCCAATTATAAGGTCGACCAGAAAGCGAATTTGCAAAAAAATACAACCCTTCACCTACATGTATTGTCAAAATTTCTTTATTAGGGCGAAAAAAAGTATTTCGCCTTGACAGAATAAGTAAGTAGTAGTAAGTTACTTTATTGAGTCTTCTTCTTTTCGATGGTACATTTAAATACAAAGTGAACGATTAACATGAATTGAGACTGTTAGAACTATTGTTGTCTTATTCTAACGTACAATGAAAGTGTATAATATGCTACATGCGAATTGTGAAATCATTACACAAAATGTAAACAATGAATGAAGTATATAAGGCTTGCTCCCGGCCTCAACTGTAACTAACAGTGCTAATGACTGTGTACAATAAATAAATAATTAACAAAATCTTAAAACTAGTTAACAAAATATGACATCAAAACGGAGTGACAGTCAGTGCTCTTACACAGAATGTGTAATTATACATAAAAATTTCTTATTCTTTGAATATCACAGTAAGTTCTCAGCTAATAAATCGAATTCTCATAAAGAGAGATCTACAGTATAGGCTGCTTAAAAGTAAAAGTGTATATATTTTGTAACAAATAATGAATTATTATAATTAACTAATTTTACTGATTAACCTCTGTGGGTTCCAGGTACTGATTTAATGTAGAAGCGTGGTAAGGTATAGTCATCTGCGACATCTTCAGTAGGTTCGTTGAGAATACCCACTGTAGACAGATATGACGAATCTGACCAGGATATATTTTTCTCGATTTCGTGGATTTCGCTTACAATATGGTTTTCGTGAGTAGCCAATTTCTCTACAAACTTCCTTTGAAGTTGTTGGGCGTACTTACAAAATGGCACAACGTTAGAGATTTTGTATATGTAAGTATTTGAGAATTTTTTGTGATGAGATTGATAATATTTGTTTGTGCATTTTCTTAAGACCTTTCTTTCCAGAATTTCCAATTCGTTGGCAACTATTGGGGAAATAGGAAACCAGATTGGAAATGCGTATGTTAGGATAGATCTAATTGCCACCTTATATAGGAGCAGCTTGGTGTTTTGAGGTAAATAATTGCTGTTAAGGATGTTTGAAAAACTCGCTAATATACCTTTAACTTTTTGCATGATGGAACGAGCATGGTCGTTGAATTTTAAGAGATGATTGAATGTTACACCAAGGTACTTTAAGGATGTGCTGAAAGGAATTTCTACTCCTTCTAAAGACAATTTTAATTGCTTGCTTTCTGGTACAACTTTTCGTGGGCATTTGCCCGACGCATTACGTATGCATATGGCTACCGATTTAGCGGCATTTATTTTAATACCCCATTGTTTATAGAAGTTGTTGATTATGTGTAGGTGTTCTGAAGCAACACTCAGGGCAATGGCTGGCGAAGGATTATGTGCGTAGATTATGCAATCATCTGCATACAGGATTGCTTTGGAATGTTGATACATGTGTGGAAAGTCATGAAGAAACAGGTTAAAAAGGTATGGTGCCAAGATACTACCTTGAGGAACGCCGCTATTTACATGGCCCAAGGATGATGATGTATTCCGGATCTGAACCATAAATTTACGAGAATTGAAGAAACTCTTTAGCATTTTTATAATAAATGGATCTACTCCAAGTTGAATTAATTTGAACAAAATACCGAGGTGAGACACTGAGTCAAACGCTTTTTGTATATCCAATGATATTGCAACTGTGCATGATTGACTCCTTAAGTTTGTTGTTACGTCGTTATGAAACTTGAGAAGTGCGTGCTGAGTGGAATGTCCAGATTTGAAGCCAAATTGGTAGTTTGATATTGGATCAATAGTTAATTCATTGTTTAATTTTTCTTTCAGCACTACTTCCAGTATTTTACCAATATTTGACAAAAGGGAAATTGGGCGAAAGTCATCAACGTTGCAATTTGTTGTTTTCTTCTTGATGGGTATGATTTTGGCAACTTTCCATTGTTTGGGAAAGTATCCGTTGTTAATGCAATTATTGAAAAGGCACGTGAGTAAATTAATTGTGGATTCTGGAAATCTCTTGATTATAAAGTTTGAGATTTCATCAGGGCCGCTAGATTTTTTTGAATTGATGTTGAAAATAATGTTTTTTATATTTTCAGATGAAGTAAAGTGGTATGTGTCTGGATTGTGGAGAGAATTAAAATTTTCATCGAATGAATATATATGAGTTGGTGTTGAGTTGATACATGTTAATAGCGTAGAATTATGCTCATCTGAGGCAGGAAGTGTTGTTGAGTCTTCAAATATGGTGGAATAAAAATTCTTAAAATGATCTGCAATCTCGTTACTGTTTGTAATAGTGTTGTTAGCATGGTTGATCTGACGGCAGAAAGATGATTTATTGCTTCCTGTAAATCGGTATATTTCTTTAAAGGCGGACGGACTAGGTTTGATTTTTTGCAATCTATCATTAAATATTTGGGCTGTTTCTATTTTGACTAGCTCCTTTATTATTATTTTCAAGAGCTGAATTTGATTAGAAAGAATGGAGTACTCACGGCTTGTCCTGTTGCCTGAACGATGGAAGATTTTTTTGAGATTTCGTTGCCATTGATGTTTAATTTGTAGGATTTTCTTGATTTTGTCCGAGTATGGTAGGCTCCTATCCTCTATTTTAAATTTTTCGGAGTGTATTTCATGGATGTTGGAAAAATGACTCTTAAAACCGTTTAGAGTGGTATCAATCTCGTCATTGGTCAGGTTCCTATTGATGGAAGGCATTATTTGACGTGAGATAACGTCTATGTCCTGACGAAAGTTATGCCAATTAGTGTTTTTATAAGATATGAAGAATTGCGGAGGCGTCAAATCGATGTTTAAATGATCAAGTTTCAGGTCCAACTTAATGGGGAAATGATCCGAGAAAGTGGGTCTGGTGGATATAGTATAGTTAGGATTTCTACTGTTGATTAAATGGTTGCTGAGTAGGAAATGATCCAGGTAAGAGGTACCACTTGGATACGATGGGCTAGTATCGCATAACCTGATGACATCCATGGAATTATCTGATAACCAGGACCTCAAGACTCTTCCATTTGAGTTTTCGTAGGAGTCGCCCCATGTTGGACTTTTGGAGTTTAAGTCCCCTCCAAAGATGAAACCATCAAAGTTGCTAGATAACTGAAGTAATGTATTCAGATCAAGATCGAGGCGCTGTACAGGATAACTGCACGGGATATATACCGATCCCAGAAGGTATTTTTTTGTTGAATTGTTAGATGAGATTTCTATAAGTGTCGTATTAATGCCAGTGGCCGGAACGGAAACTCTCTTGAATTGAATTGAGTCCTTGATGAAAATTGCAACTCCAGTGGGAGAATTATCGTAGACAAAAGTGTATCCACTTATTTTGACACGCATGTTGGATCTGAGATGACATTCCTGGATGAATGCTATATCGATGTTATTGTGAAGTAGTGTGTTTTTTAATTCTATTTGTCGACTTCTATCCACAAGGGATCGTACATTGAAAGTAAGAAATTTTAGTGATCTATGGTCCATAATTCAATTTAACTTTATTAAGAAGCATTAAAAATTGTTTTTTTGCTTCGGTTTTTGACAAGTTTTTATATTCTGTTAGGAATATTTGAATTTCTTGCTCTAAGGCCAGCTCTTCAGGTTCCAAAAAAAGATTTGCTAGCTTAAGGAAGTCTTGAATTATTTGTGGTTTTTTGGTTGAATCTTGGGGAATAGATGTGACACTTTTAAATAAGTTTGAAAAAGTTTTTTCCGGTGAATATTTGGATGTGTTTAATGCTTTAGATACATTGTTTTGAGCTAGAGCTCTGTTTTCTAATGCTACTGCCATCTTTTTTTTCCTGTCGGAGGCATATTTTTTATAGGAGGGACATCCTCGCCAGTTGGCGGGATGACCTGTTTTTTCGCAATTAACACAGTAAGGTTCCGAGGTGTCTGTCTTGGACCTTTTACATTCTCCAGGAAGATGTTTGTCTTTGCATTTAACGCATCTGTAAGAGCAATTGCAATTACGTGCTATATGTCCGTGCCCTTGACATCTTCGGCATTGGACGAAGGTATCCCTTTTTTTGGGTTTCTCCCAGATTATGGATTGGTATTGCAGTTGGCGAATATGTGAAATTTCGCCAAACTTCTTTCCTGGCAATAAGCAAACTAAGAAAAGACCCGTATCAGTGTTGTTTTTAATTGATGTCGGTGTTCTAAATTTTGAGACACTGGCCACTGTTTCAGGAACTAACTGATCTAGTTCGTTTTTAATTGCCTCTGGTTCAGTTAGAGAGAAGAGGTTTCGGATTATCAGGGATGTCTGCTTTTGATCCTTGGGTGTGAAAGAGTATGACTGAATATTTTTTGACTTTAAAAGATCCATCATTGAGGCATGAACTTTAGAATCTGCAAAGTACAACTTACTTTTGTTTTTATTTATATTTTTAATTTTAAAATTGCACTGTGGGGATGCGGCACGTAATGACTCTACTAGAGAGTTTATGTTGACATTGTATGTAAAAATCGGTGGGCACCAGGAGATTTTTGGTTTTGGAGGAACATTGATTTCGGTTGTGGTTGGATTGCTGACAGGTGTGGAAATGTCAATGTCTGCCAATGCCCCCAAAATGCCAAATTTGTTTTGGTCCTGCGGGTTGTAGTTGGTTAATTTCTCAGCCAGATCCGATACATTTATTGATGATATTGCACTTTCTAGGCGCAGTCTCTTTCGTTCGTTCTGTTTTGTCTTGTTTTCTTGCATACTAGTGGAGTTTGCAAAAGCCGGCAATTGTTTGGAGGTTGATGCGATCTCTTCCGTGACATCAAACTCCATGTCGGGGGGAAGAGAATCGGGATCCTCCATTGCAAAATTATGCAATTTGGAGGTCTTTTTCTTATGATTCTAACTTTTTTTAAATAATTTTTAATAGAAACTTAAAACAGCACGTCTGGTATGTTGTAGGGTTCACTAGGTTTCCTTGACAGAATAACATTGCAGCGAATTTCTGCTTTGTTTATTTTGGAAATGTTTGTGTATGTAAAATACAATAAAAGCAACTCGCATATATGGATATTTTCTTTAAATTTTATTGGCATGTTTGCTGTACCAGAAGTAGCCTCTGAAGGTCTGAATGCAGATTCACCAATTTGTTTTTGCTGAAGTCCCACATCATTAAAAACAATGCGCATTTTGTATACACGAACACCTGCATTAGTTAGTAGAGTTTTGGAAGATGACCTTTATCTCTATATCGCAAAACCCCATTTAAAGGTAACTAGTTTTGTACCATTCACCATACTGTGAAGGGTATATTAAGTTTGTCTTTCCCATTGAAACAAAGAAAATTTGTTTTACTTCTGTTTTCTTTAAACTTTCTCACGGAATTGTTGTTTTTATTCCCAGTTTCTTTCGCATCGTCATACAGAAACAGATCCTCGATGTAAATAGTTTTACAAGAATATAAGCAATGGTTCAAAGTAATTACTTATTCTTATTATAAAGATATATTTCAAATATTGAAATAAATCTGAAAGTAATTTAAAAAAAAAAAACTGATATTTTTAAGATAATTATTTATAATGAACAAAAAAAACACATCTACTGAGTTTCGAAAAACAGGTGGATTTGTCATTATCGAATGTTGTTACATATATTAAGGATAAATACTAATTATTTACAAATATTTTTTTACGGATTTTTTTAAAACCATAAATCTTTGCTTAGCCTTTTTTACTTCTAAACCTTTCAAAAGTCGCACTCTAAAAAAAATTCGGCATTTGAAAAAGAAGTCCTTGACATGAGGGGGCAAATCTATGCAGCTACTTTCATCTATCAACTTCTTTCGAATTGTTGGGGATTCCGATATGGTAATGCGATTCATTTTATTAAAAATCATATCCATTTTTATACCCTCCACCATGGGTAGGAGGGTATATTAACTTTGTCATTCCGTTTGTAACACCTCTAAATATTCGTCGTAGACCCCATAAAGTATATATATTCATAATCAGCATAAAATTCTAAGACGATTTAGCGATGTCCGTCTGTCTGTCTGTCTGTCTGTCTGTCTGTCTGTTGAAATCACGATAGAGCCCACATTATTTGACGTAGACCTTTGAAATTTGGCACAAGTGTGTGTATTGTCCCTAGGATGGTTGGTATTGAAAATGAGATATATCGGTCCACGTTCTGGTATAGTCCCCATATAACGGTACCTCCCGATATTCGGTATTTTGATGATTTATGCCACATTTTTTCACGGATTTATCTGAAAATTGGTATTTGTAGGTCATGACGGGTCCCTGAGCGTGTGGCAAAACATTGCATGTATAGGTCCACGTTTTGGTATAGCCCCCATATAACGGTACCTACCGATATTCGGTATTTTGATGATTTATACCACATTTTTTCACGGATTTGTCTGAAAATTGGTATTTGTAGGTCACAACGGGTCCCTGAGCGTGTGGCAAAACATTGCATGTATAGATCCACGTTCTGGTATAGTCCCCATATAACGGTACCTCCCGATATTCGGTATTTTGATGATTTATGCCACATTTTTTCACTGATTTGTGTAAAAGTTGGTATTTGTGGGTCATAATGGGTCCTAGTTCGTGTGGGGAAACATTGTAATTATAGGTGCACGTGTTGGTGTAGCCCCTATATAACGGTACCTCCCGATATTCGGCATTTTAATGTTTTTTGCCACATTTCTTCTAATGTTCTTTTACCCTAGGGTGGAGGGTATTAAAAGTTTGGCCCGGCCGAACTTAATGTTTTTTTACTTGTTTTATTCTTGTCAGGAAAGGCTCTGAAGGTTTTGTTAATTTTTCCTTTCGATACCTGATCCACCCATGTAAAGGAGTTTGAATGACATTGGTATTCTTCAAGATTTAACTTTCGGATTACATATCCCGAAATATATTCTAATGCATCATCCTGAAGAATACCAATGTCATTCAAATCCGTTTCATCTATTTCTGTAACCTCTGCGTTTTGAACCGCCATCAAATTTTCAAAGCCATCATCTTGCGACGGTTGCGATATTTCGGGGAATGATTGATCCTCACGCCCATTTTGACTGAAATCAATCCATTCTGTTTCATCAACATCGACGTTGCCCGTTCCAGAAAGTAATTCAGTATTGCGCGCTAAAAATCAAAGAACTTATTTCTGTCTTCAATTTTATAGACGACTTACATATACTTACCCAAAATGTATTTTCTGAAATCCTGAGAAGTTGAATGGTTTGAAATCCTGAGGAGTTGAATGGTCGTTAAGGCCCCTTCACTCCTCATTGAACCAAAAAAATGTTCAAGAACGTCTTAGTTCAGGCGCCTTGTCAATAGATACTCCACGTTTTACTTCTGTAAGTGGTCGTACAACTGTATCAAAGCATTATTGGAAATAAGAATTCCTTTCTGTAAGATTTCAAGTCGAGTTTTATTGGACACGATTGGACTACTCATAACTTGGTTCATTCTTTCTAATATTCCTTTCTGGGTTTCAATAAACTTGCCAAAAGGTTCCTAACAATAAAGGATATAGATATGTTTATTTCGTAATTTATATGTTATCATACCTTCCCGGGTAAACCAAAAGTACTACAAGAGGAGTTGTGGATACCGAACCAATCATTAACTCATTGAATAAATTCAGCAGTATCTATTGCATTGTATATTTCGAACTCGAGGGAATAAAACCTTTTGATAGCATTTGCTGTGGTGTTAGAGAAAAGTTGAGTCGCCAATTTCACTTTTTGCCTTCCTAAATTGTATGTTAATAAATCATTAATTATTTATAAACGTTTAGCTGTATACCTGCTCCCTTAACAGAGAGATGTTCTTCGCTTAATTTATATGTTATAGATGTATCGTTTTTATTAGTGAACTTCAACAAATCTGTTATTGTCCTTGAAGTAATAAATCGATTATTAATTACGAGTCCGGTGTCAAGGTAGTAATTTCGGATTAGCTTCACAAGATGGGGAACATCAGCAAAAGCAAATACTTTTTCCGTTGACTTTGTGGGATGAGAAAACCATGGTTTTTTCTTGTAAAAAAATAGTAGAAAAACAGAAAAAACTATTGTTACTAATATATATCTTTTTCAATTGTAATTCGAAACATTTTATTTGTAACTCGAGAATGTCATTTGTAATTCGTTATTTTCAATTGAAATCCGAGAAATTCATTTGTAATTCGAAACATATCCATTTTTATACCCTACACCACATAGTAGTAAGGGTATTATGTCTTTGTGCATTTGTTTGTAACATGGAGAAGGAAGCGAGATAGACCCATAGTAACTTTTGTTGGTGTTCAAATCTCCCACTTTCGGAATATGCACTCTACAATAATGATATTTTGTATGAGATATCTAATAGAGCCCAGAAATGCTAAATATAAAACTTTTTTAGAAGAACTCTACTAAATATGCATAGTGGTGTAGGGTATCATATAGTCGGCTCCGCTCGACTTTTTCTTATTGGTTTTAATATTACTATGAACCAAAACTTCAGTCAAGAGCTATCGTGCGCAAAGATGAACGGGTATAGCACACTTACCTGGCGTTATGTCGAAATCTCGCCACAACTTTCGGTTCGATGGTCAAATGTCGCAGACCACAGCGACCACAGGATAACCAGAATTATCTAGCACACATATTATCTGTAGTAAAAGTTCTCTCGTCATCTTGCAATCAAAACCATAAAATACAGGTTGTTTCCATCCCTTTTTTATCCCACTGGCCATTACGACTTGCACATAATTTGCCGGTTTCCGAACAACATCATTATGCAAGTCGTATTCGTACGTTTCAGCAATTTTCATTTCATCGAAAGATAGAATAAAAATTTTTTAATCTAATGTCATATAATTCACTTGCCGCATAAACTTGATCGATGACCACAAAATCCTTTCCTTGACAACACCAGTTATTGAGCGTGGATATGCTGGGAAGAGGATGCCTCTTTTGATACAAATGTCTGTACGCTCGTGGCCCTGCAGCGTGCAGGCAAATAACACTGGATATATCCCTCCATTTCCATCTAATATTTGTGTTAGATTTTAATTTTTTGATTTGACCTTCTGTAAATATTTTTTCAATGTGATCTAAAGCAGTCTTTGATTCCAGCAGCTTTCTCTTTAATTCTTTATTTTCATTCCGCAGATATCTTAAAAGCTGCACATTTTTTCAATATCCGCTGCAAAAATTACAGGACTGAAACAAATACAACCAAGAAAAAATCAGGCTACAAAAAGTTAGAACGCAACAGTTTTCCCGCAGAAGCGGGGCACATCGGCAAAAACTGTAAAAGTTCCTTAAGTAGATAACGTACAGTTTAGAAAAGATACTACTAGATTTTGGCCAAGTTTTGTAAACATTTAAGAACGGAATTTTTGTAATATACCATTTGTGGCGATCAAAATCTTAATTTTACAAGCATTTTGTTAGAATCATGTTTTCTATCAAGTAAATAATTCACTTCTTTTTTCAAAATTTAGAATTTATGGGCAACTTTTTAAAGGAGTGACCCGATATCTCCCATCTATTTTGGAAGTGAGACGGATATCGCTACATCATGAAATGCAGAGACATGGTTGGACCTCATGTCAAAGTTTTCTTTTATGAGATAAATGTTGTATAAATTGGTGTATCAACCCTAGCTAGCTATTAGAATAACTAACATTCTTCAGATAGCTTTATGCGGGGTAGGGTTTGAGTCTCCTGATGTTTTGGTTTTTTGAGCTAGATTTCCAATAAGAGTGCATGATTCCGTTTCTGTTTTGTCAATAATAATCTTATCGTGGACATTTACTTGTGTATCGTCAGGTTTCATATATCTATAATGTAAAAATAGGAATATATTTGTAAAAATAGGAATATATTTGAATTTTATTCTCTACCATTGCTTACGGGCTCAATTGCGGTGGTCCGAGTTCTGGCATAGCCATTGGCAGAAGTCTCAATTTACTTGCTGACTGCAACACATATGCCTTATTAAAATGGTCTGTGCAAACTTTTGATGTAGCTGCAAATCCGGATTTATTGTTTAAACCGCATTAATTTAAACAAATTCACTAAAAAAATATATCTTCTTACGACCTGATTTAATTTAAATTCGGTATAGAATCTACATACTAATGGAGAGCATCACTGTGTACATCTTTGGTACAGGTAGCAGCAAACCCCAGCTGATTTGACTCGATAGTAATATTCTCTGCTCTTTGATTTAATTCCCTGTTTCATATACGATATGTATACACTTTTTGATATAAAATTTCACAGCAGAGCAAATTGAAAATATTTTTGCCTAAAAATACAAAAATTCGATTATACTTGGCAAAATGCCAACGGCGATGGTGCAGAAATACTTTAGAACATAGCTCAATTAGAAAGGTTTCTCAAGTTCAAAGAAACTAGAAAAATGCAACTCTGCGTTGGATTCTTGTAGTGTCAAATAGACTTTATGCTAGGAACACAATTGGAGCGAACGACGAATTTTTTCGCGGCGTATGTTCGTCGTCAAAAATAAAAACCATATGTGTATATGGAAGTGCACACAATCACGGCGCCGGCGAAAATTTCGTCGGTCGCCGCGAACTCAATTAGCTTTATTTCTATTTCATACGCCGGCGAACGGCGACAAAACAGTACAAGGTGGCCATACTTGTACGAATTTTATGTGTTTTAGTAAATAAAGTTACTTTTTACTTAAAAATTTGTTATGGTCACTCTACTATCTGTTATTCGTATAAAAAAAACATAAATAATTTGTTTATTTATTTGTGCACTTGCGCCTGAGTGAAGATGGATATCAGTGAATTTATAATAGAAAAGATGGACATAACTGAAATTATAAAGAATTATGAGTTCTTGTATAATTTTCATTGTAGTCAACAAATGAGCAAAAAGTAAACAACTTCATCAGCTGTTTTATAATTTCGTCGGTATTGTGTTCCATACGACGCTCAGGGCGAAATTCGTCGTTCGCTCCAATTGTGTTCCTAGCATTAGACTGGCTTTTTTATATTATTTTTTTTAACAAACTTCTTATATTGGGAAAAATCCGCGAAACAAGAATTAAATTTCGGGGTTATTCCACAAGATCGAACCTAAATTAGCAGGACAATACATTCGTAGAAAATTTACATTTATCATGCAACCAAATTTTAAATAATTTCAAATTATTGTATTTTTTTGTTACGACCGCTCTTACAGCATCGGTTTGGCCTTCCGGCTGCTCAAAACTCTCAGGTAGGTTCTCAACCGCCAAACGAACTTCGGGTCCAACATCATTCATTTCATCGGTGAACGAATACAAATATTTACTCTACAACAAAACATACGGAGAACATTCCTTGAGGATTTTAAGGTCCCTTGCTGTTCGGAACCCCCACTCGGCCCACCCTACCATGGTCCACGAAACCCTACTTTTCATTATGTGGACCCCACTGACTCCCTTACTCTATTCACCACCCCACTTGACCATAATCCTTCCAATAATTTTTACTTAAACAATATTCATTTTAATTCTTATATCGTATTCACATTTTTATTCGGACATTAAAATTAGGAAGTTAAACATCAAAATTGCAAAGTCGAAAGGACCTTATTATTACATTTGTTTTCTTATATAGTCAAAAATTAAATTTATTCCCTATCAGGACCTATACTAAGGGGATTGGGTAGTTTTCACTGGCCTGAAATTTCGCCAGAAAGTTACCGACTATGTTAAGATGCTTACCTAATCGATCTCAATAAAGTGTATAATACTTCCGAGACCATCTACGTCTCACGACAAGAAAAACGGTTAATAAGACCCCTGCCCTTACAATAAATTAAAAAAAAACAATCACAACGAAAATACTATAGTAACACAAAATGTAAATAAAAAAACTTAGACTAAAATTTACGTAAATTGTTTTCTCGAATAAGTATTAAAAGAAATATAATAAATGTATCAAAAAAAAAAAATAAATAAAAATTAATAATGTCAAATTTGGGTTGTTTATCTTCTACGCCTAACGGCCGGCTATGGTTTTCAAAGTATAAGGATGTTTATCGTTTTATAACACTTTGTTACCTTGCTGTTATACTGAACTCTTCCTGGGCCACTGGTATATCAGTTTTCCTTTCTCAGCGAGAAAACTGACATATAATCACGACCATATGATGAATTTTACAGCGTTGAAATATATTCCAGATAGAGTCCACTTTTCAGCAGCCGATCTTAGGCACTGACACAGTTGGCATACACAGGGTGCTTGGTGACCACAGGATGCAGCTGATAATCGCTAGCTGCCGAGCGTAACGTGAGGAGCGTAAAGGAAAGCGTTGGAGTAAAAAAAATCTTTTTCAGGAAGCAACTTTTCCCGCTTTCCGCAATATACCTGCCTTTACGAAGTTATCAGCGTCCAGATACTAAGGTTTACCCTGTGGCCTATTTCAAGCAACAGGTATTTTCTTTAAGCAGCTACGAACGTCAGTCCAGTTTTCTGTATTGCTCTTGAACTTCTCAAATTCCTTTTTATTTGGAAGTGTTCGCTGGCTATCATGCCCTTAAACTTTATTTAACTTTATAAATGTTTTGCTTTTTTTTATTTTGTTACAATTGTTTAAAAAACACGCAAAATTACGCTCGCACTGAAATCGTTCACAAAGTAAAAGAACGCTTCCTCGTGCTGCCTTTGCTTTTATATGCGCATATTCCAACTGCAACATAATTCCAACTATGCATTTAATTTTGGTATTAATACAATAAATTTCTCTTTCTTCCGCCATCATTGATGTTATTTGGGAAATTTGAGATATGGCGTAAAACTCACTCTCTCCCGTGGTCATTCAGGGACGACACCTTACATGGGAGCAAGTAATATTTAGTACGGGAGGTGTAGATACGACATACGAACACCAACTGTTCTATGACAGATGACATTTGTAAATAACAATTTTACAGAGAGGACAGAAGGTTTTTCTAAGTGGACCACCCGCAACATTTTATTCAAAACAATATACACACTTATACAAAATGTGTATATGTTTTGACAGAATAAGGGGACAAAAAGAACTTCTGTAACTATATGTATTTTGGTTTTAATTTGAAGCCTGACTTTTCTCTTTCCATACTCGTTAAAATATGTAGTTAACAAGGACGGATCAGATGAAGCTACTAACTTGTCTTGAACCAAAAATGGCTTTTTATCTTTTAAAGAATGCTTTTCGGTCCACTGTTTCTTAGCCGCTTTGTGCCAAACTGTTATTAGTTAGCTTTTTACATGGTCGAATCAAGGAGGTAAAGTCGTGCAAACATATGTTTACAATTTTTTCAAAAATTATTCATTTGACAACATCTCATTGTCAACATTTGTATTTATAAATCCATTGTATATACACAAATCATAGATGGGAACTTGTTTTTATGTAGTGAAATGTGACAAGATAAATTACAGAAAATTCAGAGATGAGAATGCTTACTTGAAATGACTTTTCCTTCTTAATTTTACAATGGTTTTTAATGCTCAAGCTATTTTTTAAAAATATGATAGAACGCTTTTTTACCTTTCACCACATGTATATTGTTCCCAAAATACGTCCCAATACCGAAAGTTCTACTCCAAATGACACACAAACGAAAACAAAAACTATATTAAAATACACTACACATTCACCCCAGAGAAAATTTACAACGTTTAACAGTACTTTTTATTTCTAATAATAATCTCGATTTACATTATTTTCCATGCATTTTCCACTTTTTGTTTTAAAACAATGAAAAGAGTTTTTGTTTGGCGCCAATAAAGCTAAGTTAGCATTAGGTGTGTCTGGTTACCCTAAAATTTGTAACAATTTTTACCAATTGTTACTGGGAGTCGTCTGTTAACCCTAAAGTTCTGCCAAAGAGAGCGGTTGGAGAGAAAAATTTTGACAGTTGTTTCAGTGAGAGTTTGCAAATTCTTGCTGGACAAATTTTCTCTTGCTATCACTTGCAACTCTGCTTCTTCTCATTCATAGACATTCAATCAGATGTTTTCTATTGTTTGTTTATTTCTTGTTGTGCTTTCAATTTGAAAATATTTTTTTATTGGAATTAGCAAAGCTAATTATTTTTGGATAACAACTTTACAAAATGTGGAAAACGTAAATATTAATGTGTAATGAGAAAATAAAAGACTATTTCCAACATTTTTAGACAAACACCATTAGCAACACGTTTAAAGGATACCGGGGAACACATCAAACCTATCTTTCTTTTATTGCTCATATTATTATTTTATTGCTAATTTCCTTTTTATTTATAAAACTTGTAAAATTGGTGGTGCTTCCTCTGTTTTTATTCTTTTAATGGGGGACAAATTGGTTTGTTTTGACAAATCAGCTGATTAGTTGCAAGCTGCTATAGGAATACCGTCTGTTTACTTTCCACATTTTCCTTGCAAAAGAGGATAAAACTACCTTACTCTCTCAGAAAGATGTTGCTGGACAATTCCTGCAGGGAAAGTAACCTGACACACCTATTTCAGAAAATGGCGCAAAAGAAAATATGGTATCTTTGAAAACTCGGCTTAAGGCCGTAAGTTGTTGCCAGATTGTAATTTTTTGTTTTCGAGGTTTAGAAAATGTTCTGAACATAATTCCATTAATTTTTATTCAAACGACTAACTTCAAGAGAAAACATGCCATCGGCCCCATAGTGGACTGGAAGAAACGTACATTGCAGGGCGCACATTAAAGGTAATAACCATTTTTCCATGGAATTGAAAGATTGATCAAGTTGGATAATTTTATCCAGGCTTATAATTCATCATTCGCGATTTTTTTATTAAAAAAAATATATTCCAAAAAAAGGAAAAGTATTAAATAAATTAGAACAAACCGTTGAATCTTATTTTGAAAGACAAAGCGGGCATAACTTCTTTGGTGTGTTTATGTACTTTTACCTCCTTATTGCATCATGAATTATACTATTATTTTGAAATTCGATTCCATTGAAAAATTGTTCACGATTTTTACAATGAGATCTCTTTTTTCGTGTTTTTTTTTTCGATTTTAAAATTGTAATTATCCTTCATTTTTATGGACACTTGTGACTTTAAAATACTCTCAAAACACTTTTAAGTTATAAAAATGTTATCTTAATGACAGATATTGTGTATCTGTTCACATTTTTTTATTTTTCAGACATGTCACAGAAACTAATTCGGTACGAAAGTGATGTTAATTTCGTATTTAGATTCTTCAGATATCTTAAAACGCAAATTTTTTTTTGGTTTGAAACCGCTTTTGTTTTTTTAAGTGAAATTGTGTTTTTATAGAAACTAATCACTTTAAAACACTCTCAAAATACTTTTAAATGGTTTCTCAATTGACGAAGCCAATTGCCACATCATTTTATTTTTTTTTTTCTTGAAAATCAGTTTCTTCTTCAAACTAATATTATTCATCTGTGAAAACCAAACAATGTGGTATTACGAATAATAAACTGAAACAAAACAAAAAGAACACTCAAAAAAATT